TAAAAGCCATAATAATTAATGGATATAGTGTTTATTATTATATTCTTGGAATCAAGAGACTGTAATAGAGAAAGAGATGGAAGTGAAGAAACGTCCTTGGTAGGAATGTGGTTTGGGCAGCAGTGTTGCTGGATATGCAGAAATCTCTGTATAATGTCTGAAATTTAGCCACATGTACCTGGTGCTGTGACCCTGGCTGGGAGGGACTACTCAGCAACTGTCAACAGTATGTCATGACTAAGGCCTACAAGCCTTGGCAATGACTCAGTTCACTTGCCATGACAAGCAACTGTTTTCAGCAGTACTGTACTTAGAGTGCAAGTGGGAACTTAGTCAGCCGATAGTGAGCCTGTTTAAAGCACCTATCCAAACTGGTGTTGTGCTAATGATATAGAAGATGGCTGATGTAATTCCTGTATTTAAATCAGGGGATAAGTCAGGCATTCTACTCAGTCTGTTAATATCATAGTCCAGGGGAGTCACTGACTTCTTTGGTTATGCTTGTTGGTACCATTATTGTGCACCATATCTATTTTTCATTGCTGCTTGAACAAAAATAAAAATTTTGGCCGTTTTGAAATATATCCAAGAGCCAAGGAGAGATTTAAGGCATTTGAAATGAAGTTGGTATACCTGAGAATGTGCACTGAGTGGCTGCAGCTTGCAAAATTGTAATAATCACCAAGGCAAATTCTCGTATTGTAGCATTAGAGAGAACTCAAGTCAACTGAGCAGCGCTGTATAGCCCTTGTGGCTTAGCGCTTCTTTTTGATTATAATAATAATAATCAAGTCAACTGAACTATAAAACAATAGCGAATTTTGTATAACATGCTAATGTGAGGGGATAATATAAATACAGAATTATGGAAAATAGCCTTTAATCACACCCTTATCCATCACTTAGTGCACACAACATGGTGCAAAAATATGGGATAATTAGTTATCACAAGAGAATGGTCAGGTTATCAGAGCTCAGTCAAATTCTACTGATCTTTTATCAATAATATGTGGGTTCCCAGTTCCATATATATAAAAAAAAGTTTTGATATTTGATGTTTTGATTATATACGTCACAGATGAAGACAGCTTTACGTAAGTAATAGATATAAATTAACTTGGTTCACAAACATTTCTTGTGCATGAAACCCAAGTGTAAATTAACAGCGGAGTAATAACATTATATGGTGATGGCTCAGATAAAATACTACATATTACAGACAGTGGAGGTCCATACAGTATACACTTAGTTCTTGCTATTTATTCTCCTATAATATCACAGAATACTGTATATTTTTTATAAATCTCCATAAAAATATATGCTCATTAATTAAGCACGGTAAGGGCATTAAACAATAAGATAGTATAATCGAATCTTTAAGGACAATGCCTTAGGCTGGTGCAGGATCATCTTATTTAAACATTAAGATGTTCAACATCTTCAGAGTGAAATACTGACGAACTTGTTTATTTTTTTATATATTAAATCTATATTTTCAGAGTTGTTGATCTTTCAACAATTTGATTCAGTATTACTACAGTACAGTAATTTATTTGAAAATAAATGATAAAACTTAAGTACAATAGACATTGTATAGCAGTTATTTGTTATTTAATACAACTATCTTAATAAAGCATAAATTAGATTACAGTGTTCACTAAAATGTATTGTGTACACTCGTATAAAAATAAACCAAGGAATTTTTTCTTTAAATTATATAGTATTAAATGCAATCTAGTATGAGTGGAATTTTTTTTTTTTAAGTGCAATATGTATATCTATGGTCCCAGGAACCTTCTAATTTTTATGTTCAGTTACTCTTCATGTACACTACCCTAATACACAAGCATGTGTAAAAATTTTCACACAAAATGTATGGCTTGTGCCATATTTTTATACATGTATAACTTGTATAAACAAGCTATAGTGCTGCATTATAAAACAGTGTATAATTGATAATCTAATTGCAAATGTAAGAAAATAACAGAGGACCAGTCACCTTTTTCTTAATGAATTAGTATTGAATAAGATGCTAAATGTGTAACAGCGGTTATATTTAACATTTTCAGAGTATCCTACTAATCCACCTAATCAGAATTTATCTAGCTGCCAGTCATTTCTTACAGTTTTACAATATGTACCTCTTTAAGTGCTTCTGTAAGTTCAATTCTAAACGGCACCCTTACAACATATAATGCACGTATCCAACAAGAATATGGCTTATCAATTACTAAGAAATAAATTTTAAAATTGTGTACATATTCATATTTTTTCTATATTTTCTTGAGCAGAGAAGTATTGGGAGGCAATGAAATAGCTTTTACCACAGTAATTTTAACTTTTGTTGTCACTTTTTTACCCTTTTCGTTAAGCTGGACACTGTTGCATTGAGACACTAGTACTACACACACCCATCCAGTTTACTGAAAATATCAAATCTTCAGGAGTGAAGTTTGTAAAACATTTTATTTCCAGCCTGTCCTATTAATGTCAGCATTTGTTTTTACTTTATATGCTTAAACCAATTTCTGGGTATATGTGCAATTTAGGTTAGCTAGTTTGTTAACATTAACCAAATTTAACTAATTATAGTGTGCATTAACATTAGTACAATTAGATGCATTAAGGTGAGACTATAACCTCATTCACAAACAAAAAACTGGGAACCACTTACGTAGCATGAGAGTAAAAAAAAAAATGCAACATTGTTGACAGTCTCAAATGAAAATGTGTATAAAATTCTTAGTTTGCTTAGGAGGATGAGTTGTACATTTCATACACCAAAAACTGTGCTGTAACAGGAACAACAATATAAAAATAGTGAATTTGGGCAGTATTGAAAATTCTAATGTTGATCTTTAGAGCAATATGTAATATTTAAAAAGAAAAAGTGCTTTAGAAATGAAAAATAAATAAATTCTTTACCCTTATGAATTAAAATATATTTTGCAGCCTTTATAGTTGTGGTCAAAACAGATGATAGTTCTGGATGGAATGACAAAAAGATGCTATAAATATTATAACACCAAAAAAAGAGGTAGCCTAGTGGTACCAATATTATTGCCTTGGTGCTATTCCAGAGCAATAAGCAAAATCTTATAAAAGATCAGCAGCAACTCTAAAGTACTATCAGCACATGTAGCATAACTTTGGTGGGCAGTAACTCTTATCTTTATAAGAAATTACATATTCTAAGCAGGTTAATGTGTGTGGAGTACATGTATGCCCCTGACATAACAGCTAAATTATGCTACAGTACTACTATTTACAGTTATCCAAGAAATCAGAATATTTATAATTACCCTGAAATTATGGTATATATACTGTACAAATAAGAGATTATTATTATTATAATCAAAAAGAAGCGCTAAGCCACAAGGGCTATACAGCACACAAATAAGAGAGATATGTTTAGATGCCTATTGCTTGTATTCATATCTTAATGTTCTCAAGTTATCTAGATAAAAGCAAAAAGATTTCTATAGTTTGTGTAATAATTTCCAGTCTTTAAAATGTTTCAAGGCTAGAGGAGGATGCTTCACAAGCTGACAACCTGGCTTAACTTCCATTTTATAGAAATTCTTAAATGTGAATGTCATTTGTGAAAGATAAAATTTAGAATTTATAGAACATATATAGTAAGAATACTATAAACATTTAAAAACAGTTTTATAGATACTACTGTATTCCTTGAAATATTTTAACTACACAATTGCTTATCGAATATTTTGACGTGGTGAAAGTGAAAGCTACAGTGCTCTGCATGATTAGAATACTTGACTTTAAAAAAAACTTATTTGTGCTTGAGGGTAACAGGGCTTCAAAATATGTACCTCTCATAAAAGTGTATCTATATTTATAAATGTTATGGTGCCTGAAAATTATTTTAGTGCATAATGTGATTTCTGTTTATTAGGTAGATTTTATAACTAAAATACTGAAAATCACTACAAACATAAATTATTATTATAAAAAAGAAGCACTAAATCACAAGGGTTATACAGACTACAAACATAAAGCCTGGTGATGGGCTGGGCTGGAGGGAGGTTGCCTCCCCAGAACACCCTCCAAGTAGACTCCAGGTACTACATATAATTTTTATGAAAGCATTATGTGTTTCATTTGTTCTGTCTTTGCATAACCACAGGTTGAAATGCAGTATTACTGCAATGCAAGACTCTTGTTAAAAACAAAATCCTTGATAAAACATGATCTTGGAAACTTTAAAGGTTCAGTAGTGCTCCTGAGCATGAGGCTGTTTTTGTGGTACAGTATTTCTTTTCCTAAAAATAAAATACCATTGCATTTACCTTTTCCCTGCTTTAAACTCACCATCAGTTATTATTATAATAAAAAAGAAGCACTAAACCTACAAGGGTTACACAGGGCTGCCAGGCATGGAAGGATGCAGAAGTAATGGGTAGCAAGAGGGAGAGGGATGATTATTAAGTCATGGAGTGCAGCAGGGCAGTGGATAGTGCAGGGGTAGAGGGTAGCAAGAGATTGAGGTAGAAGGGGCCATAATCGTCATCAGAGTTTGTGCGGTAAATCAGTTGCTGTCAAAAAGTCAATGAGAGAGTCTGGGTTAGAGGGACCATCAGCAAGACGGGAAGGTAAAGTAAGGGCAGTAAAGAGGTGACAACGTTAGAGGTAAATTCTGTGTGCTCATTGATAGTGAGCAGTTCAACAGAATATGGCTAACAGAAACTGGAACCTGACAATTCTCAGAGTGGAACAGGGTGCCTCTCCATGAGATGCCCGTGAGTAAGACGAGTGTGGCCGATGCGAAGACGGGAGAGAGTAGTCTCTCAACCTCAACACTGATAAGATGATGGCCAGAAACCTATACTCATTTTAACAATGTAGTTTATTATAGAGCAGATCAGACCAACGTTGTTGCCAACTGGTGTGAAGGTGGGCAGCAATTACAGCAAAATAGTCTGTGAATGGAACACCTCTATATGCAGCTGGGAGGTCATGTACTGCTGACCGTGCAGCACTGTCTGCCCGGTCATTGCCCTATATGTTAACATGACTGGGGACCCAACAAAAACAATATCTGTATGCTTGCTAGAGATATGGCGTAACCAAAGTTGGATACGAAGAACCAGGGGATGAGGTGTATCAAATTTTCGTATAGCCTGTGAAACACTAAGGGAGTCAAACGATCACAAATGGTGACACAGGTATAGATGCAATACGGAGAAGTGCTACAAGAATGGCATACAATTCAGCCATAAAATTGCTAGCCGGGGATAATAAATGCCCTCGCACTACACTGTCCAGAAACACTGCTGTGAATCCTACGCCGTCAGAAGACTTGGAACCATCGGTGTACACTGCGATGGCATGAGAATGAGATTGGAAGTGGTTAAGAAAAAGAGAGCGAGAAGCCACCATAGGCAGTTGGGCTTTCACGCATGGCCGTGAGAAAGAACAGACACGAACCATCGGAACTTCCCGAGGGGGTAGGGAAAAGTGAGATGCTACATGAACACAGAAAGATGGTAACTGAAGAGAAGATGAGCGAATGTAGGCAGAGAGAAAAGGGACGGAGTAAACAGGAGCAACGAACAAATAAAGAATATCTACTAATATCAGTGACTATCCTATATATGGAAGGATTGTGGCGGTCACAAGAGCGAACATAATAGCGCAGGCAATGAGCATCACGGTGATCGGACAAGGATGAAACGTTCACCTCTGCACAGAGGCTCTCAACTGGTGAAGAGCGAAAAGCATCAAGGCATAAACATAATCCCTGGTGATGGATGGGATTAAGGCTAGAGAGAGTTGCAGGAGAGGCCGCTGAATGTCTGGTCGCCATAATCAAGTTTTGATAAAATTAGGGCCAAGTGTAGCCAAAGGGGAGTTCTACGATCAGCCCCCCATGAAAGATGAGAGAGGGTTTTAAGGAGGTTCAGCAGGCTATGACAAGTTGCATTCAGAAAGGTAATGCGAGGTTTCCAGGATAACCTACGGTCAAACAGAAGGCCTAGAAACCTGATTGTGTCACATTCTGGGATACGCGAGCCATATAGGTACAATGGATGATCAGAGATGACAGAACATCTAGTGAAAGTAATTTGGCGAGTTTTAGTACTAGAAAATTTAAACTTATGAGTGGTGGCCCAATTGGAAACACGGTTGACCGCATGCTGGAGAGAAACTGCAATGAGGCGAGTCAGTGCCTGCACAAGCTATAGTGAAGTCATCAACATAAAGCGATGACCAAATACTGGATGGAAGAACAGAGGCCAGATCATTTATATCAAGGAGAAAGTGTTGTGCTCAGAACACAGCCCTGGGGGGCACCTTCAGCTTGGACAAAATCCGGGGAAAGCATGTTAACCCGAACACAGAAATGTCTTTCAGTTAAGAAGTTCTTAAGGAAAAATGGTAGATTGCCTCAGAGGCCTAAGGAGTGGGCTCACCATCAGTTAAACTGCCAACTTTTCAGTGGTCGGATGGTTATTTTTAAAGTTTACTGGATTGAAGAGGGTCTTAAGGCTGCATTTCACCTGTACACCACCAATCAAAAAACTTATCTCCGTCTGTGGAGGATCCTTGAAGCCAGTGAGGGCCTTTCAGTTCAAGGAATTGGACCTGTGCTCCCCTTCCTTGGATCAGACCTGAATCCCTCCTATTCTCTAGGTGCTGCATGATCCCACGAATGTAATAATAATACTTAAACCTCTAAAACAGGGGTTGAAGTAAAACTGTGTGTATACATTGAGACTACATACCTATCAGTACATATACATAGATACATGTACCTCTTGGTGTACATGCCTATTCTTGGCTCTTCATTAAAACCACCTAAATACTATACACTGCAATATAAAATAAAATCATAAATAAAATGCATGAAAAAGATATTTTATATTGCATAGTGTCATGTTTGCATATTTTATGAATGCAGTTTTACAATTATAATTGGTCACTTATTGTATATATAATTGAATTGTATTTATCCTATGTTTCATAAGCCAAAAATCTTGAATTAAAAAAAAAATGGTTGCTATCAGTACCATATTAATTATTTTCAGGCCTATCACATTAAGATGGCACCCTGTTTTTATTGAAAGCCAATCCAAATTGTTGGTGCAGCAGTAGCACCATGCATTGTTACTTTACTTGAAGTTTTGCTTACATGCTGATAGTACATGTCCCCTCAAGGAAGGTTCCTTGATGTTGGTGAGGGGCTCTTGATTTAGGGAATTGGATCTATGCTCCAGTTCCCCAAATTAAGCCTGAATGCCTTCCACATACCCCCCCAGGCGCTGTATAATCCTCCGGGTTTAGCGCTTCCCCCTTGATTGTAATAATAATAATGATAGTACATGTATGTAGTAACAAAGTGATAAGCAATGTAATTCTAAACCAGTGTTTGCATGCTGGTGATTTTGATAAGAAAGATAGCTGAATGAAAGATGTTAAAGGAATGGCCACTGCAGGAAAGTGATGCAAGTGTTGGAAAATCAAGCAATTCAATAAATAGGGAAAGAACTGTTATTAATCCAGCAACAGGTAGAAGTGATGAAACAATTTTAACATGGAATAAGCTAAACTGAGGGAGTATGGTATTAGACAAACAATATCTTTATGTGAGGGGTAGCTTTACGATTATGGGAAGTTTTAAAAACAAATTAGACAAATACTGTATATGAATGGGACTGGATGAGTGCAAGTAGGACCTGTCTTGCATGGTTCAGTAGGCCTGCTGTACACTTCTGTTGTTATCTTTGGGGTAAATTTAGTTTTTTAATTCAAGTTGATATAAACACGACTAAATAATGAGACGTCAGAATGTGGTGTTTAGAGGCTTGTTTGAATCGCTGGTAAACTGTGACTTTACATTGCTGCTGCTTACAAACAAACTCTTTAACCAAAACATATGTAATAATGACTGTCACCAAAATAAATATTTTTTTATTGTATATTTTAATGCACAAGTACCCAGAGCTGCTAATGTTATCATCATTACATTTTTAAGAATTTTAAATACACTAGACAATGAAATGAAAAAAACAAATTAAGATATTTTAATGCAATACTGTAATAAGAATGAGATACTGTAAAATATAATTTTTTTTATACATTTTTTCATAACTGTTACTTTATCTGGACCTACTTGTTCAAATTCAATAATTAGCTAGACAGCACGTATTAACTAGGATTATATATGGTAAACTGTATTTTAATACATAGTTTTGATCACTCATTACTATCTCCTATATCTCTTCCCAGTGTTGGTGATCATGAAAAAACAGTGCAGTAACAGAAACTATGCTAAAGAAGTGTCAACTGCAATACTGATGAAAATCTTGGAGCCTAGTAAGACTATCATAGTAACTTTGTTTAGCATAAAATAGTAATTAATCTAAAAGATTATGGTTTTGGCTATTTTGAATAATCGAGGCTCCACTGTACAACATTTGTGAGCTTTGTGGTTAAATGGCATTAGTACCTGTACATATCTCGCACATGAAAATAAACATTCTGTAGCTTTAAAATAATGTTAACTTCTAATACAGAATGTCCTCACTTTTGGTTACTTTATGAATGATTTTTAAAATAATTACAGTACTGTATGAACTCTTTTACTATATCATGAAATACAGTGGAACCTCGGTTTTTGTTTGCCCTGGTTTTAGTTGAATTCAGTTTTTGACGACTTTGTCAAAATTTTGTCCCAGTTTTCGTTCATTCCCTCGGTTGTTGTCTGCCGTACTGAATGTGTCCTCCTGCCCATGCCCACACAAAGCATCCCATGCACATGTTCTGAGTCAGTCTGGCTTTGTTTTTCACTGAGTGAACATTACCCTGGGCTTTCATACGAAACATTTCATAATAATCCATTGTTTTTTGTGCTTGTTTATTGTATGCGATGCTAAATAAGCCACCATGGGGCCAAAGAAAGTTCCGAGTGCCAACCCTTTGATAAAGAAGGCGAGAAATTGTGGCCAGAATGTGTCCAAGAGAAGGATTTTGTAAGGTTTGAGGCTGACCATGACAACCCTACATCTGTTGTGGAATCTATTGTGGCTTTGGGGAAGTCCACAGGAAAGAGCTAACCACTGAAGAGCCGCAACACCTTCAACTGGAACAGCAACAGATCACAGTTGAGGAAATTGCTTCAGGGGAGGAGGGAGAGGGGAGAATGTGCTTTCTTCAGTAATTAAGGATGTGTGTGCAAAGTGGAGTGAGTAGCAAAGTTTTGTGGAGAAATATCACCCTAACAAAGCTATTGCAAGGTGTGTCTGCAACATGTTCAGTGACAGTGCCTTGACCCATTTTAGGCAAATCTTAAGAGACACCAGAAACAGACCTCTCTGGACAGATTCTTTGTGCAACAGGGGTCCAGTGACTCTCAAGCTGGTCCTAGTGCCAATAAAAGACAAAGAAGGGAAGTAACCCCAGACAGGGACTTGATACCTGAAGTCCTTATAGAAGAGGATTTCCCCTTCCAAACAATAACCTCTCCCCTCCTTGCCGTCTTCCATACGCCAACAAGAGTCTTCAATAATGGTAAAAGTTATGTTAAATGTTCATTTATCCATTTCAATATCCTTTATATTTATTTCTCATTGTTTTCTGTATGTAAAATTATAGTTATTCTCTATAAAATATATTTTTTGTTAATACTTTTGGGTGTCTGGAATGGATTAATTGGATTTACATTATTTCTTATGGGCAATATTGATTCGGTTTTCGTCAGACTTTCTGGAACAAATTAAAGACAGAAACCGAGGTTCCACTATGCAGTGATACCTCAAGTTTCAAACAGCTCCCAACTCGAACAATTATGTAAGTGTATTTTTGTAAGCGCTTTTGTGGGTGTGAAACGGACTAATCTAATTTACATTATTCCTTGTGGGAACAAATTTGTTCAGTATCAGCACTCAAACAGCCTTCTGGCATTAAGTTCATAACTTGAGGTACCACTGTATTATAGAGAAAGGGAGGATTAATTTTGTTGAACAAATGTACATTTTGTTTTTGTTCTAAAAATTAATATGAAAGATAAAACCAAGTTAACATAGAAAGAAAATACAGGATAAGCTTGTGTGTTAGGTAGCTAATATGAAAGTTCAACCCTATACAGTACTGTGCAAAGCTGTGTTGCATCTAAAAAGCAAAACCACATGCAAATAATTAAAAAAGTTTACATTTACTAAACCTAGAAAATGTATCAAGCTAATATCTGTAAGCATTAGATATTTTTTTACTATAGTTGTTGTTTATTAATGGCAAGACTGGTCAAAGCAGTGCAACATCACCAAAGGAATAGTTTACCGTGTTTAAATGTTCAAATTGTGTGTTTTAGTAACCATCCACTATAAAAATAATTAGGTTTGACATGTAAATAATGTATTGTTTGTATTACATCTGAGTGATGTCCATTTACATTTTTGTCGTTTGCTGAGGATGTTAGGTCTGAGCCAAGTTAGGTTAGCCTTGAACAAATTTTTTTCAAATATTTTCTTGGACAACAACCCTCATTCATTGCAAAGGAGTACTTTATACATTACTGTATTTTAACAAGAGAATATTAAAATTTAAATTTTTTATGATGCAAATACAGCCTCTCCTCACTTAGCGACATACTTATTTACTGATGACTCAGACTACGACGGGCTCTCTGACCAGTATGCATACCTAAATTTATATTAGAGTTGATTTCCTCTATTCTGTGTATTACAATATACAGTACATTACTAATAAACATTAAAAAATACACCAGAAATGTTATAAATGGTGCAAAGGTGACATTAAAACAATATCAATGATGGTTGACACAAACCAACTACCATTATAGTATGCTCCTCACTTAGCAACAAATTTGTTTACCAATGTAGCCTTAGAAACGGAACTCCGTCGTTAAGCGAGAAGAGGCTGTATATAACATTTGTTTACGGCTAGATATTACAAAAGATTATAATGTAATTTGAGAATCGACTGTGGTTTCTCTAAAGACATGGATATTACCAGTATATATTTTCTTAAACATTGTAAAAATGCAAGTTAGAAATTTAACTTTCTGAGAATTGCCAAATTACAAAAGTAGGAACTTGCAATAAACAGCTCCAGTGCTGGAAAGGAGAGTCAAATGAAAACGAAACATCTAGTGCTGCTCTTTGCAAACAGCAAATCCTGTTGTACTGGCTGGCAAACATGTCTGCTTACCTGTAATCTGCTGCTCTTCAGCAAAAGCAGTAAGATTCAATGGAAGTTTTAGAGAGCATGTGGTAAGAAGAAATGCAGGGAAATCTACTGTAGAGTTTACAATATACAGACAATTGTAGTTTTACCTTAAATTCTAAAAAATACATATAAATGAAAAAAATCAAGAATATAGCAATGAATATCATTAACAAAAATGTTAGAAATTATGCAGATCAGTTTACTGGTGCACATGTACTGTACTGAAAGGTAAGGAAAAACCTGCAGGAAATGTAATACATCATTCATCACCAGCAATCTGTATTAAAGGCATGATTCTGCCAATATTTAGTTTTCATTTGACCCCCCTTTTATAAACAAATGACCCTTAAAGTGATACATGACTAGCTGCCTAATTAGTTTTGAGTTATATACCATGGTACCATACAAGGGTTTACTGATTGTTTTCAATATTAATAATACATATATAGTACCACATGTTTTATTTTTAGAATTTATAGCCATCTGCAGAAAAAAAATTAAAAGCTGCTCTGCACAGTGAACCACATATCAGATAAGATCTTTTTTTTTTTAATAGCTTGGAATAAGAAAGTTACATTATTCACTTTATCAGTTACAACATACAATCTGTGTTTATCTAATGTGTGAGAATTACTAGAATTAAGTTTTTAAAAGTAAATTTTAAGCTTATAATCCTTCTAGAGAACCTATGTTCAATAAGATAAGTTGTAGTGATCAAACCACCACTGTTGAGTCCGTGAATTTGCACAATCCGTCACAAACACATCATCCATGGATTGCTTATCACCTCTGTCAAGGCATTTTGTTGTAGCCTTGTGTACGATGTGACCAGTCTGCAAAAATAGGTAAAAAAAAAAAAAAAAAAAGACTGCTGATGAAATGTGTTTTTATAACCATAACAAACTTAATATATTTTTTTCCAACACCAGCATCAATTTTAGAAGTGCAGCATCAAAAGCGGTCAATGGAATATGCAGAGTTGATGATGACACTAAGAAATAAAATGAGCATCTCACCATATAACCCTTAGAGGGAAAATGTCTTTGTTCTATTGTAGGGAACTGGATTAGAGTTACCCTTCTTATATCAAATCTGTTTGCTCTACATTTCTCAGGTATTTCATGACCCCTTGTATTAAGCATTTTATGGAATATATATACAGTATACATGTATATGTTTTTTTTATCAGCTGTCTCCCACCAAAGTAGGGTGACCTAAAAAATGGAAGCACATTCACTCAATCATGCTCTCGCGAGAAGTTTTCTGACACCACAATTCTAACTGCAACATTCCTGCCACCCTCGCAAGCGATTTTTATTTCAATGCTTGGTGCACTGATGCAAAAATCGCTTGTGAGGTCAGAACATAAAGAGAAGAATGAAATAGCTTGAAACCATGCTTGAGGCTTGCTGATGTGTCCGGGCTGGGAAGAAACATGGCTTGTAAACCACGCTACCCAGCTTTTGACCCCTCAAGGAAGGCTCCTTGACGCTGGTGAGGGACTCTTGATTCAGGGAATTGAATCTGTGCTCCAGTTCCCTGAATTAAGCCTGAATACCTTCCACATCCCCCCACAGGCGCTGTATAATCCTACGGGTTTAGCGCTTCCCCCTTGATTATAATAATAATAATACCCAGCTTTTGAGGCATTTGTGGCTGAGTGGTCTAGAGCATTACTTGGGAAACCATGCCAGTCTCCCTGTAGTAGGTTCGAATCCTGCTGACTCTGATCTTTCTCTACATATACCTGCTTGTTTCTGTGTGGTGCATTGATATACATGGGAATGTATGAAAGTATAACGTAGTACCAACACTCTTATATGGGTGCGAAGCTTGGGTTGTAAATGCTGCGGCGAGGAGGCGGTTGGAGGCAGTGGAGATGTCCTAAGGGCAATGTGTGGTGTAAATATTATGCAGAAAATTCGGAGTGTGGAAATTAGGAGAAGATGTGGAGTTAATAAAAGTATTAGTCAGAGGGCTGAAGAGGGTTTGAGGTGGTTTGGTCATTTAGAGAGAATGGATCAAAGTAGAATGACATGGAGAACGTATAAATCTGTAGGGGAAGGAAGGCGGGGTAGAGGTCGTCCTCAAAAAGGTTGGAGGGAGGGGGTACAGGAGGTGTTGTGGGCAAGGGGTTTGTACTTCCAGCAAGCGTACGTGAGCATGTTAGATAGGAGTGACTGGAGACGAATGGTATTTGGGACTTGACGAGCTGTTGGAGTGTGAGCTGGGTAATATTTAGTGAAGGGATTCAGGGAAACCGGTTATTTTATATAACCGGACTTGAGTCCTGGAAATGGGAAGTAAAATGCCTGTACTCTAAAGGAGGGGTTTGGGATATTGGCAGTTTGGAGGGATATATTGTGTATTTTTATACGTATATACTTCTAAACTGTTGTATTCTTGGCACCTCTGCAAAAGCAGTGATTATGTGAGAGTGAGGTGAAAGTGTTGAATGATGAAAGTATTTTCTTTTTGGGAATTTTCTTTCTTTTTGGGTCACCCTGCCTCGGTGAGAGACAGCAGACTTGTTAAAAAAAAAATATATATATATATCTTTCTTTCAACACACCAGCCGTATCCCACCAAGGCAGGGTGGCCCAAAAGGAAAAAGAACGTTCCTCCTTTTACATTTAGTAATATATACAGGAGAAGAGGTTACTAGCCCCTTGCTCCCGGCATTTTAGTCGCCTCTTACAACACACATGGCTTACGGAGGAAGAATTATGTTCCACTTCCCCATGGAGATAAGAGGAAATAAACAAGAATAAGAACTAGAAAGAAAATAGAAGAAAACCCAGAGGGGTGTGTATATATGTGCTTGTACATGCATGTGTAGTGTGACCTAAGTGTAAGTAGAGGTAGCAAGACATACCTGAAATCTTGCATGCTCATGAGACAGAAAAAAAGGACACCAGCAATCCTACCATCATGTAAAACAATTACAGGCTTTCATTTTAAACTCACTTGGCAGGACGGTAGTACCTCCCTGGGCAGTTGCTGTCTACCAGCCTACTACCTATAAAAATATATAGTATACTATATATATATGGGCTAGTAACCCCTTCTCCTGTACATATTTACTAAAAATGAGAAGAAGAAAAACTTTATAAAGCTGGGATGCTTGAATGTGCATGGATGTAGTGCGGATGATAAGAGAGAGATGATTGCTGATGTTATGAATGAAAAGAAGTTGGATGTCCTGGCCCTAAGCGAAACAAAGCTGAAGGGGGTAGGCGAGTTTCAGTGGGGAGAAATAAATGGGATTAAGTCAGGAGTATCTGAGAGAGTTAGGGGTAGTGATAATGTTGAAGGATCAGTTATGGAAGGAGAAGAGGGAATATAAATGTGTAAATTCAAGGATTATGTGGATTAAAATAAGGGTCAGATGTGAAAAGTGGGTCATTATAAGCGTCTATGCACCTGGAGAAGAGAGGAGTGTAGAGGAGAGAAGAGATTTTGGAAGAACCTTTGAACCAAGTGAGAGAGTAATTGTGGTAGGGGACCTAAATGCTAAAGTAGGAGAAGCATTTAGAGAGGGTGTGGTAGATAAGTTTGGGGTGCCAGGTGTAAATGATAATGGAAACCTTTGATTGAACTTTGTATAGAAAGGGGTTTAGTTATAAGTAATACGCATTTTAAGAAAAAGAGGAAAAATAAGTATACAAGATATGATGTAGGGCGTAATGACAGTAGTTTGCTGGACTGTGTATTGGTAGATAAAAGACTGATGAGTAGACTTCAGGATGTACATGTTTATAGAGGGGGCCACAGATATATCAGATCACTTTCTAGTTGTAGCTATAGTGAGAGTATAAGGTAGATGGGATACAAGGAAAATAGAAGAAGCAAGTAAGAGAGAGGTGAAGGTGTATAAACTAAAAGAGGAGGCAGTTAGGGTAAGATATAAACAACTATTGGAGGATAGATGGGCTAGTGAGAGTATAGGCAATGGGGTCGAAGATGTATGGGGTAGGTTTAAGAATGTTGTGTTAGTGTTCAGTAGAAGTTTGTGGTTACAGGAAAGTGGGTGCGGGAGGGAAGAAGAGTGACTGGTGGAATGATGATGTAAAGAGTAGTGAAGGAGAAAAAGTTAGCATATGAGAGGTTTTTACAAAGTAGAAGTGATGCAGAGAAAAAGAGAGGTTAAGAGAGTGGTGAAGCAATGTAAAAAGAGAGCAAGTGAGATATTATCAACAAATTTTGTTGAAAATAAGAAAAAGTTTTGGAGTGACATTAATAAGTTGAGGAAGCCTAGGGAACAAATTAATTTGACAGTTAAAAATAGGAGAGGAGAGTTAGAAGTATTGGGAAGATGGAGGGAATATTTTGAGGATTTGTTAAATGTTGATGAAGATAGGGAAGCTGTGATTTTGTGTATAGTGCAAGGAGGAATAACATCTTGTAGGAGTGAGGAAGAGCCAGTTGTGAGTGTGGGGAAGTTTGTGAGGCAGTGGGTAGAATGAAAGGGGGTAAGGCAGCTGAGATTGATGGGATAAAGATAGAAATGTTAAAAGCAGGAGGGAATATAGTTTTGGAGTGGTTGGTGCTATTATTTAATAAATGTATGGAAGAGGGTAAGGTACCTAGGGATTGGCAGAGAGCATGCATAGTTCCTTTGTATAAAGGCAAAGGGGATAAAAGAGAGTGCAAAAATTATAGGTGAATAAGTCTGTTGAGTATACCTGGTAAAGTGTATGGTAGAGTTGTTATTGAAAGAATTAAGAGTAAGACGGAGAGTAGGATAGCAGATGAACAAGGAGGCTTTAGGAAAGGTAGGGGATGTGTAGACCAAGTGTTTACAGTGAAACATATAAGTGAACAGTATAGATAAGGGTAAAGAGGTTTTTGTGGCATTTATGGATTTAGAAAAGGCATATGACAGGGTGGATAGGGGGGGGGCAATGTGGCAGAGGTTGCAGGTGTATGGTATAGGAGGTAGGTTACTGAAAGCAGTGAAGAGTTTTTATGAGGATAGTGAGGCTCAGGTTAGAGTATGTAGGAGAGAGGGAGATTATTTCCCAGTAAAAGCAGGCCTTAGACAAGGATGTGTGATGTCACCATGGTCGTTCAATATATTTATAGATGGGGTTGTAAGAGAAGTGAATGCTATGGTCTTGGTAAGAGGTGTAGAGTTAAAAGACAAAGAATCCAACATAGTGGGAGTTGTCACAGTTGCTCTTTGCTGATGACACTGTGCTTTTGGGAGATTCTGAAGAGAAGTTGGTGGATGAATTTGGTAGGGTATGTAAAAGAAAATTAAAAGTGAATACAGGAAAGAGTAAGGTTATGAGGATAACAAAAAGATTGGATATCATATTGGAGAGAGTATGGAGGAGGTGAATGTATTCAGATATTTAGGAGTGGACGTGTCAGCAGATGGGTCTATGAAGGATGAGGTGAATCATAGAATTGATGAGGAGAAAAGGGTGAGTGGTGCACTTAGGAGTCTGTGGAGACAAAGAACTTTGTCCGTGGAAGCAAAGAGGGGAATGTATGCGAGTATAGTTGTGCCAACACTCTTGTATGGGTGTGAAGCATGGGTGATGAATGTTGCAATGAGGAGAAGGCTGGAGGCATTGGAGATGTCACGTCTGAGGGCAATGTGTGGTGTGAATATAATGCAGAGAATTCGTAGTTTGGAAATTAGGAGAGGTGTGGGATTACCAAAACTATTATCCAGAGGGCTGAGGAGGGGTTGTTGAGGTGGTTCGGACATGTAGAGAGAATGCAACAAAACAAAATGACTTCGAGAGCGTATAAATCTGTAGTGGAGGGAAGGTGGGATAGGGGTCGGCCTAGGAAGGGTTGGAGGAAGTAAAGGAGGTTTTGT